GGCAACACCTCAAGGTGCAAATTTAACATTCTCTAATGTGATAGTTTTCCTCTAAGTAGGTTAACAAAATGTTCTGGAAATGGGTCTTTTTTCTCTGCATAGTCTGTTTGAGGTATAAGCCTCAAGAGTGATAGTTGCATGCCCAAATCACATAGCATTAGTTTGGAATGCAAAATCACCCCTCTTCTACAGAACACCCAGAGGTGTTCTGATCACCTATCTTAACACCCCGACACAGCCAATTTCGTGTTCTTGGTACCACTTTTTACTGTATGAAATTACTTCATTTAATTATTTGTTTATGGTCTGAGTTTCTCTGACCCACTAGACTGTAAACTCCATGAGATCAAAAACTTTGTCCATCTCGTTCTCAACTGTTTCTGCAGAGCCTAGTATATGACTAGTGCTCAATATTTGTTAAATGAATGAGATAAAGACAGAATTTCCTTTAAGCATTTCTGAACCTTGTCATCAAAATCCAGTTTGTTTATTTATTTAATTTTCTATTTTCTTTTAGCCACACTGTGCAGTTTGCAGGATCCTAGTTCCCCGACCACAGATGGAATCTGGCCCCCCTGCAGTGCAGAGCCCTAACCTCTGGACTGCCAGGGAGTCCTGGTATCCAGTTTTAGAGGGTGGCTTGGACTATGTTGAAAAGGTGAGGGTGAGTCAGGGAAGCTATGGGTTATACCATCTTCAGTGAAATGGACATGTCTGCTTTCAGGGAAGGTATTAGTTGAATAGACTAATCCAAGTTAATCCATCCAAAGTCAGTTCCCTGCTATAAAGACTTTATGAGGCGAAGGCAGCCCTAAGTCATCATGGGTATGGAGATAAATTAGCATTCAGTAAGGAGGGACTAGTGAAGGGATGCCCTTGGCAGAGTGATGCTTTAGTTATTTTCAAACCCCATATTAAATAGATAAGAGTACTATGAAGAGTAGAGGAAACAGCTATATTATTCAGCATGGACACTACTACATCATTTTATTGGTTAATAATACCCTGGTTAAGGTCATGGTTAAGAAGGACCAAGCCAAAACAGAAATTGTGTTTAAGAAAAAAGATGGTTTTATATATATATAAAATTGAGTGCACAAAATAAAGTTTAAAAAATCTGAATTTGTGTTTTCCTTTGTATTGGTATAATATTTTACTTCCCATTTTATTTTTACTTGTACATAACTTGATTTTTTCCACTTCTATTTTCATTTCTCTTTCAAAGGAACTTGTTTCTTATGATTAAAAGATGGTTCAGTGAAGCTCTTGCTACAAAGTAGTCCCCACTTGGTCCTGCCTAGCCCATGGTCTCAATTGACCCTCCCTTCTATCAGTATACACTTTACCATAGAACCCAATCCTCTCCTGGCAGGAAGACTCTTCTCAAAGCTCCAGTCCCAAGCCCAGGACTCAGCCACCTGCTGCCTCTGCTACTTACACCAAGGTGTCCTAACCTTGGCCCCCGTCTAAGCACTGACTCACAGCCCTTTTCTTGCTCCTGAAGCCCAGGCCTTTTAACCTGTGTGGAACTCGATTTTCTCTGCCTGTGGTCTGGACTCTGGACTCTGCTCTCTGAAGTCTGCCCCAGCCCTACAACATAGACTCTGTTGTGTACTGATTGATACCCCTAGTGGTAATACTTGTTTGCCTTCAGCTTCATTTTCTAGAATTTCTCTGTCCATATTCTATCTAGCAGGTCTCCTTTCCCCCATTGCCTCAAGTTGGACATCTTGATGCTTGCTGGTCTCCTGGACTACCACCTGTTGTTTGCTCACTGTTCTCCAGCTATCAGATACTACCTAGAGGGCTTGAGGTCCTCCCACCCAACACCTGGACCTGGAGCCTCCCCACCCCAGCTTCACTCAGCCCACAGTCAATCTGTCCTTCCCTATCGTGTAGCAGTTCACCTCACTGCCTTTCTCTGTCCTGAAAGCAGTGGGTTTATAACCAACTACATGTTATTTTTTAACCAGATATACATAAAGATAGGTATATATGTATATAGTTGCTTTTGTTTTTGTCTCATTAAAAAATAAAATGTAATAGGTGCTTGCATATATATATGTATATTTATATATATTGTTAATATGAACATGTATAAACCATATCCAGTTCTACTTACTACTCCTAAACACTGATTCTATTCAAGAATTCTGTTGGCACTAGAAGTCCAGAAATCTTAGCTTCTGGAGCTGAGTATGGTTACCTTGTGAATGACCATTCAAAGAAAGACAAGGTGTCATGATAAAGATTCAAGCTGAGATAACTGGGGAGATAATAATTTTGGATCAGGAATGCTGTGTCATTAACAGCCATACTATATCAACTGTACATGCTTGACATGGTTATCTAAATATATAGGTGTAGTGTGGTGCCTCCAATGTACATAGACATACTAGTTTATCCACCACATATTTTGGGCTACCTAACCCTGTGCTGGACAGAAAGTTCTAGAGGACAAGAGCTGTCTTTTTCTCACTCCATCATATCCCTAGGATCTAGCCTGCTGCGAGGCACACAAGTATGTGTTCACTATTTACTGAATAAATAAATGTACTATAATGCCCAGTACATACCTTCCCCTAAAAGCTTAAAATCTCATAAAAATAAGTTGTGTTCATAATTTCTTTACTTGATGTTTCTTTCCAAGTCAAGATTTATTGTCTTTAAGACAGTTGCTAATTCATTTTGTTTTCTGTTGATAGATGGCCCTCACTTATTTCTTGTATTTTTATCAACAAAAGCAGGGTTGATTTTGGGGGCTTGTTTTTAGTATTTTTGAGGCTTAATTTTAAAGCACTTACCTTGATAGAATGAGAGTCTGAGAAATGCTGTAATGGTAGCACAGAAGTATCACTGACTATACTTTTTTTTTTTTGGCCATGCTGCATGGCTTCCAAAATCTCCAACCAGGGATCAAACCTGGGACCATGATAGTAAAAGCCCAGAATCCTAACCACTAGACCAGCAGGGAACTCCTATCACTGGCTTTAAATTTAACATCTCTTCAACAAATAATGCTTAAGTTTTGGAGTTCTGTGTGCTCTTTAAAAAAAGAACTTCCTCCATTCTCTCATGGGGAAATAAAATCAGTTATCCAATCTATAATCAATAGCTGTCACTGTTTCTTTTAAAATGTAGGTTTTACATTTGGTTTGTTACCCACCTTAAGATCTGTCTTCCTCATTGTATGCCTGAATTATACCAGCTACCCTAATTGGTCATTCCCACTTTCAACTGATCTTGCTCAGTTTTTCCAGGTTTCACTTAATGAGACACCACACTCATCACAATCTGAGAACCACTACTGTATGACAGTATTCTGCTAGATTGGCATCTCCACTTCCCACGGAATGAGCCACATTCATTTCTCCTTTTAATGCTATTCTCCTGCCTCCAATGCCCAAATACCACCTCTTGCAGGAACTCATCTTTGATGGCTCCATCCTAAACCCCTTGGGCTTTTCTCACTATATCACTGACTTTTTTGGTACAGTTTAGCTATTCCTGTGTCTTTCTCCAAAATATTATTTCATACCTTTATTCACTTACATATGAATAGGGGTTTTCTAGTCTGCCAGGCTGGGGAAGGACAATATAGAAGGTATCAAAATACTCAAGGTATCAAAATAGCAGTCTTAGGCTGGAACCTACCATTGCTGCTGCTGTTTAGTTCTCAGTCATGTCCAACTCTTTGCAGCTCCATGGACTGTAGCCCACCAGTCTCCTCTGTCCATGGGATTTCCCAGGCAACAATGCTGGAGTGGGTTGCCATTTCCCTTCTCCAGGGGATCTTCCCGACCCAGGGATAGAACCTGCGTCTCCTGCTTGGCAAGCGGATTCCACTGTAATAGTCAAAATTCTTGCCCCTGTTTTCAAGAGGCAATTGGTGGTGGGGGGCTGGTGTCACTAACTTCTCAATGCACCTACTGTGCTGCTCTATCCCTCAGGGTCAAAGAGTGTACTCCTGTTCCTTCTTCCCTTCTTCCCTCTCCTGCCCCTGTTGTTAGCGCAGTTGCTGTAGTCACTGCACTGATCACCTCAGGCAGCTACGTTCCAGGACTCCAAGAGGTGCCATCCTGCTTTTTGTGAAAGATGCTCCCTGGAGTTGCACAATGCACAACCTGCTCCTGGCCCCATGGAATACCATGAAAGAGCTTCCAATTGCATACAGGGAGCCAAGTCCCTGGCTTGCTTAAAGAACCACCTTTTTTTTACTATTAACATTATATATACCTCTACATAAGATTATATATTACAAAGATACATTATATTTTATTATAAACATTATATACCTTTCAGGGCATTTGGAGGAAATGAAAGAGGCAAGATGTGTATTTGTCAGAATTAAATCAATTAGAATCCCATATAGGATGTGTAATTAATCAAAATTTTTGTTTTGACTTCATTTTCATCAGTGCAAATGCTCAAAACAAAAATTATTCTATTGTTATACTTAGAATAATACATCATGCCAATCAAAATTTATATATGTACCATATTTCATCAAAATAAGATAACATTGATTATAAGCAACATTATTTTATGTACAACTAGGAAAGAAAAACACTGCCAATTAAATTATGACATATTATTAATAGTAAGACATCCTAATTTCAGAAGTCATGAAATGTCAAAAAGTGTGCATCTAAGAATTGATGAGACATAGTGTGTTTTAATGCATCTAAAAGGCAAAACACCACCATATGGCCCAGTAATTTGAAATATTAAGTTTCTGGGTTTTGACATATAACTTATTTGTTTGTTATACACGATCCTCAAATAATCATACTGTAAAAGTTAACCACAAGAGCAGAGACAGTACAGTTCAACTGCATATAAACACATAAAACAAACATGAATAACTTGTGATTCAGTCACATAAAGTTTAAAAGAAATACTAGCATCCAGTCAATGTAATGTAGTATTTGGATTACATTACAAATAAAAAATTAAGTTTTGGACAGCTGCTTATTCTGAAAATGTGTGATGACAAAGAGAATGGACATATTTTTATCCTTGGAAAAGTCAAACTAAACAATCAGAAAAATCTCAACAGTGCAGTAGAATGACTTTACATTTATCCCGGAAGCTGAACAATAGTCCTTGTTGCTTGTGGGGCCATCAGGAAAAGCCAGCTGTGGGTTTCTTTCTAGTACAATTAATTGCTTCCGCTGTATATAAAATTGAAAGAATTGGGTGCTTTAGTGCGGAAAAAGGATATCCTGTACACTGCTCCTATTTCCTCACAAAAGCTATTATTGAGCCTTTTGCCATTAATTCACATGCATTGGATTATCCTGTGATGAAAGACCAAGTGGCTTCTCATTTTTATAGTCTCTTATCTCCTATTTATTTGGCACCTCTCTGGAGATACCTGCTCTTCTCCCAAGACTGGTTAATTGCTAGGATGTCAGAAGGTAGCTAATGACTGACTTCCTTTTCTGAGACTAATTGTGAGCTCATCTCTGTACTGTTCTTAGAGTGGCGTTTCTCATTGCTGAGAAATATTCTGAGTTCTGTTATTATTTGAAATGACAAAGGCAGCATGTTCAGTGCCAATTTTCAATCCCTGCCCACCGTTCACTTTGAGATCAGCAAGTAACTCATTATAAATCCTCTGGATAAACCTGACCAGTCCAGTATACAACAGCCATTTGCTAAGTGTGACTATGTACATTTTAAATTAGTTAAAAGGAAACCAACATTTAAAGTTCAGTTTCTCAGTCTTGGCTCATTAAGTGCTCAATAGCCACATGAGGTTAGGGGTTACCATATTGGAAGAGGGAAGATATAGAACATGGCCATTTTCACAGAAAGTTCTATTGGACAGTGTTGCTATAAACTATGATCTGGTCCCCTCAGGCCTCATGAATAGTATCTGAACCCTGAACTGATGTTTCTGTGGTCACCATCGAAAACAAATGGTAGAAAGGCTACTTTCAGGATCATTTCTGTAGTTTGTTACTCGAGGAGTTTCTCCGAGCATGTGGAGCACCAGAAATGGGGGGCTGCTGCTCACCTGATATAAAGTTACATAAGGTCTGGGAAGATCCGCTGGAGGAGCAAATGGCTACCCACTCAGTATTCTTGCCTGGAGAACTCCATGGACAGAGGAGCCTGGCAGCCTACAGTCTGGGGTTGCAGAGTCGGATACAACTGAGCAACTAACACACACGCTCGATAAGTGTTCTTACCACACACACACATACAAATATATACATATATATTTCTTAATGGGAGAAAATTGACAAAAATGCAAATAGTGTCTGTGGTATCTCCAGGTAGAGGGACTATGATTACCTTTTTCTTCTTCCTATTTATATGTGTTTTAGGGGTTTTATTCCTTTCTTAATTAGTAAAAATCACATTTAAGATCCTTAAACCCATTCATTTATCACCAGTTTCAAATTAAGGTGGTTTTATCCAACCTCTGCCTTAAGAGAGGAAGTAGTCATTTTGAACAACTGTTTCTTTAAATATTAAACTCAGCCAGCAGTTTTTAGTTAAGAGATCTGTATTCCATTCTCTTCTAGCATGAAAAGCATCAGAGAACTTGCGTTTAGGATGCCCTAGAGCCCTGATAAATAGAATTACAGATCATCCCTCAGGAAGAGATGGCTCATGATCACTAGCAATCCTCTCATCCAGGTATTTGTCGGGCATTTTGCCAGGATATACATATTTCTAGACTATACTTCAGAGTCTCAGAATCAAGGCTCAACAGGTTAAGGAGGCCTATGGAGTTGCAGAGGGCTCTAGTTTTACCATTGAAAAAGAGAACCATAAAAAAAGAATTCCTTGTTTCCTAAAAGTTCAGGCGTGATCATACAGGTTTAATTAGGAACAGCCAGCTGTTTACAGCAAATTATAAACTGCATAAGCAGACCTCAGTGGACACTCCCAAAAGATGTCCCATGAACCCTTACTTCTCCAAGTCCAGATTCAGCAGATCTGGCTTGGTGAGGTAGGGTGCTGGGATGCCAGCCAGAGGAGTATTCTAAAAGTCCCTTTCCATAGCTTTCCATGACCAAAGGAGAGGGTCAAGAGTACATGGAAAGCCTCTGCTTTTCTTTCCTTTTGTCCTTGAAACTTGAAGCCAATTCACTGTTTTCTTGACTACCACTGCATCCGCCCAGTAGAGAGACACTTCAGAAACAAGCTAAGCAACAGGATAAGAACACCAACTTTGGAGTCAGAATTCTGGCTGAACTTCCTAATTTTTGACCTTAGGCAGAGTTTGTCAACCCTGAATCCCAGTTTCTTTGCCTATAAAATGAGGATAAATAATATTGATTTAATGAGGCAGATATGAGAATTAACCAAGAGTATTTGGAAAACTGTTGGCATAAAATCAACACTCAATTATTTTTACTTACCTTTCCTTTTCCTTCTAGAAGGGGGTTGGTCCATTGGTGTTTCTATTGAAGAGGAAAGAAAACAAACTGTAAAACCCTTAATGAGCCTTACTTCAAATACTGCCCGGTGCAGTTCAGTAATTAGTATATGAGTTCTGCTTCAGCTCGGGCTGGGCTCCAGCTCTTCGCTCCAGCCTTAGCTCAGGAATTTCCTCCTCTAGAAAACCTTTGCTACCCACTCCCATGCTGAGTAAGTGGCCTTCCCAAGTAGTCCCCTGGCACTCCAAACTTGTCTCTATCCTCATCATTTACCTTGCATTCTGCTTCTCAAAACAGGGTACCTAGCATTGAGCACGGAGTACAGGATGTTATAAGGCATCTTCTCCAGAGCATGTTTTATCTAATAATGAGTAAAACAAAGGGCATGAATATATTTTTAAGATAAGATATTAGATTATATAAGAAATTTCACAATGGCAGAGGGTTCCTAGAAGACACGTGATCATCATCCTTTGCTTTTAGATTTTCTTTGCAGAGACGTTGCAGAAGCACTTATTGCCACATGACAGTGAAATTACACCGTAACTAGTCTGTTTCTTCCAGCAGACTGTGAGCTCTGTTACGGCAGGCATTGTACCTCATTTGCCCCTGAATCACAAAACTTACCTACATAGCGTGAGGCCTGTCTCAAGGTGGAGGCTCCAGGAATGTTTGTGGAGCTGAAATCAGCTCTCTGTCTTCTCCCAGTACTTTGGGGAAACTATAGTTTTTCCATCAAAGTGAGCAACTTTGAAATTGTTTAACTGACAGGACTTCACATGGAGTGCCTATTAGAGAGAACACAATTCTAGCTGTACTTCTGGGAAAAGTATTTAACCTATCAGACTTTTGGCTTCCCAACCTGGTAGGTGGTTAAGGCTTAATGAGAAGATTCACAAAGTAAACTGAACTTGGCACATAGAAGGTGCGTGCAAAAAAGCTTCTTTAGTTTTCTCTAAAGTGACTAATTAATAACTAATTAATTCTGATCATTAATCTACAAACAAAGAGATGATTTTGGTTATTTCAGTCATTCCAAGCAACTCAAAAGGGACCTGAGCCACCGCCTGGGGCTTCTTCTACAGCACCCTGGTCCTCCTTCCTGAACTTCCAACCTAATATTACCATATCATCCAGCAGTTTCCTTACTGTCTCAGTGACCGGTGACTGTCACTTTAAACCTGGACTTAAAAGAGAGAGAGAATTCAACTAGAAGGTGGAGAAAGGTAACCACCTATTAGGAGCTTGAGCTGCCGAGTCAGGGCCCATTTCAAGCCTTGCCTCACTAAGTAATCTGATTTGCTTTTCCAACTCTGAGGCATGTCTTGATCCTGGTTCTACAGACAAAACTGGGTCCTGGGCAAAGTTGCCAATTCCTAACTTAGAGAATGAGCCAGGGAGTCGGGATCCCCAAATGGCTGTGTCCTTCATTCTATTGGTCTGGGTCCAGAATAACTTTACTCAGAAACTAATAAAGCTTAAGCTTCAGGGGCCCTCACTATCAAAGGCCCCTGTTTATGCTGAGACTTGCCTAAAATGCTCTAGGTTGAGAAGGGAAGTCAGGGTGTAATCAGGGAGCATTCTTATGTAAGCTTTTCTGATAAGTTGCCTAAGACATTTCAGAAGAAAGAGACCTAGAGAGCCGTGATTCCAGGAATTTGATTCTTTCCTCTCATTCTAAACGAATACTCAGTTTTGTAATTTATTTTGTGTTTGAAATTTTATATTCTTTTTAAGGATGACTCCAAAAAACCTGAAGCTACTTTTCTCTAATGCCTTCCTACCCTACAGCTCACCAGAAAGTCACAAGTACAGAAGAGTGTGCAGGGGTCTCTGTCACAAAGACTCCATGAGAGGTAGACTCACCCTCAATACCTGCAGTCTATCTTCTCTCTCAGGAACCTATTGAACACCTTGTATCAATTTCCTTCCACAAATGCTGGGACCCTCTAGCATTCCCAAGTGCTTCACTAGAAATAAAAATATAAAACCTCTGTTAGCTGACTTCTCCCCTGAATCTAAAAACTATTTTGAAATGGTCTTTTTATACCTATTTTTATGCATTGATAGACTTGGTACTAGAGAGGGGTCAGGGGATAACTGACTTGCACATGGAAAGGTAGTCTGTTAAGAATTTTTCTTTTTTTTTCTAACATTAAAAAATTTTTAACTGAAGTATAGTTGAATTTCAGTGTTTCAGGTGTACAGCAAGGTGATCCAGATTTATGTGTATATATTCTTTTTCAGATTCTTTTCCATTATAGGTTATTACAAGATATTGAATATATTTCCCTGTATTATAAGGCATGTCCTTTAAGAATTTTATTAAGATATTTTGGGTTTTTTAAAAAATAGAATTAGTTTGTGAAAAAAGGAACATGAACCCCAAGTAAATGATAACAATGATGGCATCCTTTTGCATTTCTGTTCCTAATGTCTCCAGTCTAATGCCTAACTGTAGATACAGTTCTCATGATCATTATTAGTCAGTTCAGTTCAGTCGCTCAATCATGTCCAACTCTTTGCGACCCCATGAACCACAGCACGCCAGGCCTCCCTGTCCATCACCAACTCCCGGAGTTCACCCAAACTCATGTCCATTGAGTCGGTGATACCATCCAACCATCTCATCCTCTGTCATCCCCTTCTCCTCCTGCCCTCAATCTTTCTGAGCATCAGGGTCTTTTCAAATGAGTCAGCTCTTCGCACTAGCTGGCCAAAGTATTGGAGTTTCAGCTTCAACATCAGTCCTTCCAGTGAACACTCAGGACTGATCTCTTTCAGGACGGACTGGTTGAATCTCCTTGCAGTCCAGGGAACTCTCAAGAGTCTTCTCCAACACCACAGTTCAAAAGCATCAATTCTTCATCCCTCAGCTTTCTTTATGGTCCAACTCTCACATCCATACATGACCACTGGAAAAACCATAGCCTTGACTAGACGGACCTTTGTTGGCAAAGAAATGTCTCTGCTTTTTAATATGCTGTCTAGGTTGGTCATGACCTTCCTTCCAAGGAGTAAGCATCTTTTAATTTCATGGCTACAATCACCATCTGCAGTGATTTTGGAGCCCCAAAAAATAAAGTCAGCCACTGTTGCCACTGTTTGCCATGAAGTGACGGGACCAGACGCCATGACCTTAGTTTTCTGAATGTCGAGCTTTAAGCCAACTTTTTCACTCTCCTCTTTCACTTTCATCAAGAGGCTCTTTAGTTCTTCTCCACTCCTTTTCCTATTTGGAACCAGTCTGTTGTTCCATATCCAGTTCTAACTGTTGCTTCCTGACCTGCATACAGGTTTCTCATTATTAGTCAGATAATCTTCAAAATGTATTTAATAGAGATTAAGTAGGATTGCATTAGTGAAGTTCATAGTTTTAAAAAATACATTGTTTTAAAAAGAAAACAAATCTCAGAACAGTATGCACACTATGATGCCAATTAAGTAAAACACAATGTGGGTGTGTATAGTTTGTGTGAGTATATATACAAGGATAGGTCTGTGTTTCCCAGATTTCAGAAAACAACACTGTGCTGTATCCACACAGAACTAATGTTTCGCAGACTTTAGACAACTGCATACAACCTTTTTTTTTTTTAATCTTGCCGCACTATGGGGCTTGCAGGATCCTAGTTCCCTGACCAGGGATCAAACCCAGGCCCCCTGCAACAGAAGTACAGAGTCCTAACACTGGACCACCGGAGAAGTGCTTGCATACAACCTTTCACCAGACTCATCCAGAGCTACTTGATGAATAGCTTTGATGCTTTCTTCAAAAGCTTGATAAGGAAAATAAAATGTATTCTAACAAAAGGGGACCTCCTTCACTAATAGAGTCAAATATTAACTCTTTGCAACTGGCAGGTATATGAAAACATTGTCTACCCTGACTTACAGTAGCTTACAAGGCCCTCTGTGCTCTGGCCACCTCTCCTGCTGCTCGTTCCTTACCTCTGTCTCAAACCCCGTTCCTTCATTGTGCCAAAGCTGTACCCTGGACGCCTCCACGTTTCTTTCCCCCCTCAACCTCCAATTTTGGTGTGGTTGGCTCCTTCTCATCATTCAGACCTCAGCCCAAGTATCACTTCGCAGCCAGGTCTTCACTGACTACTTGACCAAAAGTAGCTTATGCCAGCCCCCAATATATTGCTTTATTTTCCTGTAGCACTCATTATTTCAAATTGTACTGACTATACACTATGTGTTTACTGTTGGCCTCTTCCCTTTAGTGGGTAAGCTTTATGATAGCAGGAACCTTGTCTGTACTGTCATCTTCCATCCCTACAATAGAGCTTAGCAATTCAGTGAGTGTTCATGGAGTGAAAAGTAATAATTCTGAAATATTATTCAATGTTAAAAAGACATGAGATATCAAGCCATGGAAAAATATGGAGGAAAATGAAATGTATATTGCTAAGTCAAAGAAGTCAGTCTGAAAAGGCTACAGACTATATGATTCCTACCATATGACATTTTGAAAAAGGAAAAACTATAGAGACAATAAAAAGATGGGTGGTTGTCAAGGGTAAAGGGGGGGAGGGATGAGTAAGTGGAGCACAGTGAATTCTTAGGCAACTATATAGGATATTATAATGGTGGATACATGTCATAATACATTTGTTCAAACCCATATAATGTGCAATACCAAGAGTGAACCCTAATATAAGCTACTGACTCTGGGTGATATGGATGTGTCCATGTAGGTTCACTGATTATGACAAATGTAGATTCTGGTGGAGGATGCTGAAAATGGGGGAGGCTATGCCTGAGTGGGGGCAGGGACCATATGGGAAATCTGTATACCTTCTGCTCAATTTTGCTATGAACCCAAAACTGCTCAGGGGCTTCCCTGATAGCTCAGCTGGTAAAGAATCCGCCTGCAATGCAGGAGACTCTGGTTCGATTCCTGGGTTGGGAAGATCCACTGGAGAAGGAATAGGCTACCCATTCCAGTATTCTTGGGCTTCCCTTGCAGCTTAGCTAGTAAAGAATCTGCCAGCATGCGGAAGACCTGGGTTGGGAAGATCCCCTGGAGAAGGCAAAGGCTCCCCACTCCAGTATTCCGGCCTAGAGAATTCCATGGACTATACAGTCCATGGGGTTGCAAAGAGTCGGACACGACTAAGCAACTTTCACTTTCACTTAAAACTGTTCTAAAAATAAAGACTGTTAAAAAAAATATACTGCCCAAGTTGTCGACAGCTTTAAGTGTGTAAGTGATCACTGAGTCATGCTGCTGTACATCAGAAACTAACACAACATTGTAAATCACCTATACATCAACACAAATTTTTTTTAAAAGCTGCAGTAATGAAAACAAAAATAATGCTGCTACAAACATAGCAGTGC